CAGGGTGAGCTGTCAGCGGCCGGTGTCAGGTGGCTGATTCCAGGCCTGGGACATGGGATCCAGCTGGGGCAGAGAATTCCTGCATGCAGGGAATTTCCAGAGCCCCCCAAACCCCTGGCTCTCAGACAGCCCCTACTGCTTTGGCAGGGCAGGGGATGAAAGGTGCAAAAATGTTCTTTTTTGCTTGTTTTACACCTTCCCTTCTGGTATCAGCTGTTTCCCCGGCTCTGCTCCCCACCAGCGTGGTGGCACATCCCAATGTGTCCTTTTGTCCCCACTGCTCCCCCATCAAGGCTGGGTTCTGCCATTTTTGCAAAGTTCTGGTTGAAGATTTCTCCCGGCTCCAGTTGGATACTGAGCCTGTAAATGCCATTTTTTTGGAGCTGCCTCCTCCCTCCCTGGCTGCTGATGGGGGCCCATGGAGGGTTTGGAGCAGCTGTCCTGAGCAAGGAGACCCCCTGCAGCCTCCTCCAGGAAGCAAACCCGCAGCATTTGGGATTTTAGGGAAGCAAAACGGAGAGGTGACCCTTGCTGCTCCTGCTGGTGAATCCATGGACGGATCCAGCACCGTGGTGGGTGCCTGGAACCCACCCCCTGCCAGGAGGCAGCGCTCTGCTGGCTGTGCCAGGAGCAAACCCCAGGCTGGACTCTGCTCCTGACGTGTGCAGGATGCAGTGACGGGGAAGGAGGGACGGCCCCTTGCCCTGCCTCGCTCCGGAGCCTTGGCCAAAGCCACCATGCCAGGGCACTCGGTGGCCCGCTGGCCACCCCAGGAGCCCGGCACTGCCCGGGGAGCTCAGAGCCACGGGGAAGGCTCCTAGCCCAGGGTGAGGTGCCTGGAGAGGGGGTGGGAGCTGGGAGAGCCTCGCTGGGGCTGAGGTTGTCACTGTGGAACCTTCGGAGCAGGGGACAGGTCTGTGCGTGTCCCACGTTTCTGTCTCCAGGGTGGGGAGGTGACACCGAGCGGGGAGGGGGTGGCTTTAGGACGTGAGTCTGTGTCTGGGGGGGTCTTACAGGTCCCTGTGCCCTCTCCTTGCAGAGCCTGCCAAGAGAAAGCGATGGAAAGGCCAGGGAAGGGCAGCCCCGGCGGGAAGATGACAGCCATGGCTCACAGCCTGTAAGTATCTCCTGCTGCCTCCTCCCGCCCCTGCTCCTGGCACTTGTCCTCCGGTCACTTTCTCCGGGGACTTTGCCCTTTGCTCCCATCCCACCCACGCCACAGCAACGCCTCCGTTCCCTGGACGAGGTGGAAAACAGCAAAGGCAAAGGCAGGGTCCTGGCGCTGGGGGCTTTGGGAATGTGTGGTCCGGGGTTTTTGGGGTGTCCCCCTGTCCTAAATCTGCATTGCCCAGTGAGGGATGCACTGCCTTGGTCTGGGCCACCTTTCAGCCCCTTGCAAGGTGAATGATGCTGGATTGGGGGCAGGGTGGGGGCAGAGCCAGGAAAGCTGTAGCAGTTGCAGGGCATCCAAGGAGCACAAGGAAAATGGATTTGGGTTTGGATTGCTGCATCCTGACCCCAGTGAGGCTGGGCAGGGTCCTGGCAGCACCTGGGAGGGGTGGAAATGCCCTTTATTTAGAGTCATAAATTTTACTGGGGCTGGAGCAATGCCCGCTCATATCTTGGATATCCTGAGGGCTTCTTCATTCCTGGCTGGGGAGTGGGAGATGGAGAGAGGATGCTGTGGGGTGAACAGGGGGTTGGTGTGAGCCCCAGAGCTCAGCCTTGGCTGTGGAGTCAGGATCATGGAGCTGGACAGATGGAATTCCCTGGGGACAGGTTCAAGAGGCTTAAATTGGAGAGATGGGATGGGGAAGCAAAAGGCCTCTTGATCACAGCCCTGCCAGTGCTGAGGGAGGGGGATGGCCCTGGGCAGCTGTGCTGTGCCATGCTGTGCCATGCTGTGCCATGCTGTGCTGCTCCATGCCATGCCAAGCCGTGCCACAGCGTGGGCTCACTGGGGAACAGTCAGCTGAGACCTGTGTTCCTCCTCCTCCCTCGGAGGAGAGGGGCTGTGGGCAGCACCCCCTGCTCCACAGCCGCTCCCGACCCCTCTCCCCCGGCCCGTGCCCACCTCGGTGCCTCCATCCGCGGGCTCTCCTCCCGGGAAACCTTTCCTCCCGGGAAGGAGGCCCGGGCGAGCTCCGCGGCCGGAGCGTTCCGCCTGCGGGTGACAATCGTGCTTTTGTTTTGCCTGGCTGCGAGAGGGGCAGGCGGGAATTTGGCTGCCCGGAAAGCTGCCGGGAACCCTTTCTGCCACAATTAAGCACCTGCTACAAGAGAGCAAATAAGCCAAATCATGCGGCTGGCAAACAAGCTGTACGTGTTCCTTCCCCGTGACCCACTCCAAGCGGCAGAAAGCTCCAGGCTCTGCGGCTCGGCTGCTCGCAGCTCCCGGGGCAGCGACTCCTCAGCTCCCGGGGCAGCGATTCCGCAGCTCCCGGGCGGCGATTCCGCAGCTCCCGGGCGGCGGTTCCGCAGCTCCCGGGGCAGCGATTCCGCAGCTCCCGGGCAGCGATTCCGCAGCTCCGCCGCCGCCTCCCGCTCCCGGCGCGGGCAGAGAGGAGCTGCCTCTCGCCGGCTCAGAAGCCAAAAGAGCTTTCCCCTCCCCAAATTAGCGGCTCCATCTCCTTCTGCTATGGAGAGACAGATCCCCGTGCTGCGAGTCCGGTGAGGCGGGGCCGGCGGCCGGGCAGGGGGGGCTGCTTTGCATCCGTGTCAGCCTGGCACGGGCCTGACCCGAGCGGGACGGGCTCGGGCCGCGCAGGGGGCCGAGCCTGGCGGGGATGGGCAGGCTGAGCGGCTCGGGAAGGGATGGCGAGGATCACATGATGCGGATGTGCGGGGTCAGAGCAGCCGGCCGTGCCCGCCGCCTTCCCGGCAGCCGCGCTGCAAAGATGACTCGGGGCTTTTTGTGTGTCCTGAGGGTTCAGATTTCGGGGAGATGCCCTGGGGGTGAGGACAGGGCTGCAAGAAGCCCTGTAGGGAAGGGTAGAGAGGCAGGACTGCGGCGTGTGGCCTGTGCTTGGAGGGCACGGAGGGATGGAGCAGCTTCGCCCCCGACCACCCCCGCGAGAAGCCCTGCGAGGGTTTGGGGGTGCTCCGGGGGGGCTCTGGGGCTTGTGAGGGGTCTTCTCCACCAGCAGCACCACCCATGGCCCAGCTGGGAGCTGGCACTTCCCGAAATTTGGGGGGAGAGAAGGGTCTCAGAGAGATGCAGGGGAGGGTGCACCCCTTCCCCAGATCAGGATCGGGGGGGTCAATCAGATGCAGAGGAAGGATGGAGGTGAGGTTTAGGGGGGATGAGGGTGTCATCCTCCCCTATGGATGCCACAGAGGGTGGGAGGAGCAGGGGCGGGGTGGGGGTCTCATGCAGAGGGGGCATAGGGATCCACGGAGTGCAGGACTGGGGGCCGGGATGGGAGGGGTTTAGGGCCAGGATGGGGGTCCCAAGGCAGAATCGGGGCCACAACAGAGCCCCCACAGAGGGAGGTTTAGGGGCAGGATGGGGTGGCATGGAAGGCAGCATTGGGGGGCACAGAGGAGTCCCCTGCAAGGGAGAGTTGGGGACACGATGGGTTCGTGTTGTGACACGGTGGGACACGGGGGGGTCCGCAGGCAGAATCGAGGGAGCCCCTGCAAGGAGGGTGAGAGGACATTATGGGGTCTCAAGGCGGATTTAGGGGGACATGACAAAGCAGGGGCAGGATTTAGGAGCAGGATGGAGATCCCACGGCAGGACTGGGGGCCACCACGGAGCCTCCTGCAAGGGACAAGCTGAGGGTCCCCGTGCGCGGCAGGACGGGCCCGTACCCCCCCCCGGGAGCCCCCCCCGTGTGTCCCCGAGCCAATGCGCGGCAGCGGGGGGGGCTCGGGGCGGGGCTGGGCCGGGGCCGCTTGTTTTTTGTGAATGAAAGGCGGGGCGGCCGCGACTGCAGCGCGCAGGGCAGCGCGCACCGCTCGGCGCAGCGCGCAGGGCCGCGGTCCGCGCAGGGCTCCGCGCAGCGCAGCGGGCCGCGGATGCGGAGATCGGGGCGGCCGAGGAGCCTTGGAG